GGAATACAGGACTCTTAGCAATATATGAATGGAAGAAGTGTTGTCACATCAAACAGAAACAGGAATAACGGAGGAACATAAAATTAGCCAACAATCAAACAATCTCCGCAACTTACACTCAAAGAGCCTAATACTCAACCTCAACAGAGAAGAGGGCAATAGCTGGATGCTTCTTGGATTTCCATGAAACAGGACAACCACCAAGAAGGAGAACATAACCATTAACAGACTTACTACCAGATAAACAGTTGGCCCAGTCCTAATCAAAATAGCCTTAAAGAGAAAAATCAGGATAATTGTTTAAAAAAAGTCCCAAATCAGTTGTACCAGCTAAGTGTCTAAGGACGTGGAGGCCAACTTTATAACGAAGAACCCTTGGTTAAGACATAAAGTGACTCTAGTGTAAAACACAGAAATATCAAGGCGCGTGTATTGAAGGGAATTCAACTTGCCAATCAGTTTCCTATACAAAGAAAGATCAGTGAGCAGGGCCCCTGCATCAGCAGAAAGTTTCACATGAAAATTCGAAGGAAAAACAACAGGGGCAACATCAGTGCGATGGAACTCATGCAAGAGCTCGTGAAGAAACTACTGCTGAGTCACCAGAATACCTCGAGGAAATCTGAGCAACTGCATGCTCAGAAAGTAATGTGCCCGCCCTAAATCCTTGATTTTAAACTACTAATCCAAAAAGAATTTGAGAGAACGAACCCCCACAATGTCCCTGCCAGTGACAAGAATGTCATCTCATCATCTACATAAACAATAATCACAGTAAAAGACTGACCCAGTCTTAAAGAACAAAGAATAGTCATTTTTACTATAGTCATAGCCCTTGCACACCAAGACAGAAGACAGCTTGGATACCACTACCTAGAAGCTTGCCTAAGCCCATAAAGAGACTTGTTGAGCTTGCAGACAAGATTGGGAGTGGAAGAATCGGAGGACCAAACTTGTAAGCCAAGGGGCACCTTCATAAAAATCTCCTTATCAAGATCATCTTGCAAAAAAAAGCATTATGAACATCCAACTGGTGAATCTCCCAACCATTCTTGATAGCAACAGATAAAAGGCACTTAACAGAAGTAAGCTTCACAACAGGGGAAAATGCTTCTGTAAAAGTCGACCTCTTCTTGTTGAGTGTGACCTCTAATGACTAGTCTTGCTCTTAGTTGCTCGGACTCTTCAATTTTGGTGCCACACCCGTGTCGACATGACATGGGTATGGGTGTGGATGTGGTATCCTTATCCGATTTAGTCAACCAATATTGGTTACACTGACCAAAATCCATAGGGAAAATCCAGACAATTTTAACGATTTCTGTAATTAATACAAAAGCTAAGGTGTAATTGAAGAAAATGGAATGCCTTTTATATAGAAAAATCTATGTCACTCTTTCTCCATTAATCTCCTTCGAGAATGCTCCTCAAGTTCTCCACATAATATTTCATAATTTAGGTTTTATAACTCTATTCTTAGATATTTTAATTATTTCTAGGAGAATCCCCGCACCTGTATCCATACATGGAGCTATATCCCCGAATCTTAAAAATTAGATCATGAAGGAACCGACCTCTAGATTTTCACCCGTATCGAACACCTGCACCTGAGTCCGAGCAACTTACGACTCCTGCTTTATATCTTCCAATTGTGCCTTTAGACTTTTTTAGTTTATATACCTATTTGGAAGAGGGCACTTTTTTCAGAAGGAAGAATGACAATGTCCTAAGTACTATTAGCCTCTAAAACTTGAAATTCTTTAAGCATAGCAGCCTGGCAAGCAGGGTTAGAAACAGCTTAACGAAAAAATTGAGGTTCAAGCAAATCAATGTCAGTAGAAATAGAAGCAACCTTAAGGTGGAAGCATGAGAACAAATGTACTGTTGTAGATAAGGAGGAATAGTGGTCCTAGGATCTCCTCAAGGCCACTGGTAAAGGGACATGAGAGATAGAGGAGGTAGAATCATTTGAAACAGGAGAAGAAGGAACAAAAATAGAATCATGGCAAACATGAGATGAAGAAACAGAACTAGGAGTAGCAAGACCTACATGAGAAGGAGAAGAGAGTAGAACTTGTGTGAAGAAGCATATGTTTGTGCTTTCTTTCCACAACAACATTATATTGGGATGTATGAGGTATAGCTGTTTGGTGAATAATTCCTCTGGAAAAAAAAGAAAGAAGTTGCTTCAATGCTTGATCCTAATTCAAAAGCATCATCACATACCTAACAATTTTCACTGAAGTATCAAACTGATTCTGAACCATGATAATGAAAGATTTGATGAAGGAAAAAGCATTGGACTTTGTAGAGAATAAATGTGTCCAAATAGTTCCTAAAAAGTCATCATCTATGGTTAAGAAATGTTTATATCCATTATAAGTTTGGGTGTGATATGGACCCATAAGTCAATAAGTATGAGTTGGAAAGGCAAGTAGTTCTAATGGAGCTCTTAGAAAATGCTAGTCTTTGTTGTCTAGCCATAGGACAAATTATACAAATAAAATCCTGCTTGTTGGGTAATTGATCCCTTAAAGGAGTAATACATTTCATTTTATGATATGAGGCATGTGTCCTTGCATTAGGTGCCACAGTAAAGCAACATTAGGAGCAGTAGAAGAACAAAAAGAAGAATTTGAGATATCATGAGAATTAATTCTTCAGGTGTAATAGAAAAAGAATCAACTTTATTATCAAAACAATCAGTAGCTGATATGGTATTTACAAGATGAGAAAGGTTAAGAGACTTGGGATAAAGGATGTAAAGCCCTTGGGACACCCTACCAAGCTCCAGTGGCCTCTACAGTGAAGGGGCCCTGTAGAACACAAGTATAAGCAGTGCATTGTACAAATAACTTGTGAACAGAAACCAAGTTAAATTGGAAAGAAGATACATAGAGGACATCAGTTAACACTAACCCTGGTTAAGGTTAGTGTTCCAGTCAAAGTGACTTTCACCAAGTAGTCATTTGGCAAGATGATAAGGTAAGTAATTGAAAGAGGAGAGATGTTTGTGAGACAAGATGTTACTGAAGTTATGACAGTTAGAACCTGAGTCTATGATCCAAAAATTATCAACTGCTCGACATATTACAAACAAAAAAAAACAATTATTAAAATCTTAGGTGCTAACTTAACTTGCATAAATGGCAGAATCAGAATCAGCATCAGAGGTGACCTGGTCAGAATATGTACTCTTCATATGTTGCAGCTTCATATGTTGCAGCACAAGAATCATTTGAGTCAACTGGTCTGGTGAAAACTATGCTCCCCTACTTTCAGGTTGGCCAGACATCCCTGAAATCTCTGATCTCATATCAGCTTGAGCTTGACGATCCTTCCTCTGTACACAAGCAACAGTCTTCTTGTACTGATTTGAAGAGTTATTTGCAGAATTGGAACTGCTTTGACAGTTCTGATGAGTAAGTTTTCTGGAGTTGCCAATGACATAATCATGTTTCTTACAATATCTGCATAACATGTTATTCCTTTTGTTGTCAAAATTTACCCTCTTGTGTAAAAATTTCCTGATTCTTAGGAAAATAAGCACCAGAATTAAGGCTTCTGTACCCCAGTATAGAAAGTAGCAGTTTCTATAGAAAGAAGGGCTACAATTTGTGCTTCAATTAGACTTTCATCAGAATAAAAATGTTCCTTCTTAAACCAGAATAAAACTCATTCATTCCCATTAAAAACTGGTGTCATCCTTGTTCCTCTTCTATTTTGTAAAAAGCCTCTTTGCAACCACATGTACAAGCGGGTAGGTAATTGAATAAGGAAGTTCACCCCACAACTTCTTTAATTTGTAACTAAATCAGTCGACCAATACGATGTGTATCTTCCGATATATATACAGGGTGCAAGTGTAATCAAGCAAAACTAAAGTCCTTCCAACATAACTAAAAGTTGAAATTATTTAAGTATCAACAGTTCTCCACTTGTATTATTTGTTGTGTCTGTCAACACCATGCAGTTCTCCACTTGTATTATATGTTGTGTCTGTCAACACATGCAGCAAGGTTTTATCTGGGATGAGGTATTAGCAAATTACTTTTTCCTTAAACCAATTGAGCTAAATAGCAGACGAAGATAATTTCCTTTAGTCTAAACAAACCTATCGAGTAGAAAATTAGAACTCGGATCTATCAAAATAAAGCACAAGGTCATTGCATCAAAGGCCCATAGCAAAGGAAGGCAGCATACTTACTCAATTCGGACTACTAAGTGCTGATGTCAAGATTCTACTCGTTGTAGCAAATTTTTTACCTAACTATGTCTGAACAAAGCAATGAGACAGTTTCATAACACCAGGCAAAAAATAGCAAAATTGGCATTCAAGAATGAAGACAAAGCTCCAAAGATATACCACCATTGTGTAAAAGAGAAATTTAGACAGAAGCTGGCACACTGCATATATACATGTAACATTCAAGAATAAGAAGCTAAAATAATGATGGAAGCAAACTAAACTGATGTAAATCCCGCTGAACTCCAAGCATAAGAGCGTAACAAACCGATGAATTGAAACGTGTACGAATAACAAAAAGATCAAAACAGGAAATATCCATTATCATGAAAAAAAGGGTTGAACATTCCCTTAGTATTTTTTCTTTTAGGCCATATCTCCAAAAACTAATATCATCCAACACAAATTATACATCAATACGAAGTAAAATACCAAATAAGTATCATACAACAACAACATACCAAATGAAATCCCTAGTGTTCTTTCTAGATCCCCTAAGCCTCACTTGCTTTTTGTGGGTAACATAAACATTTGCGTGACATCAAACACTTATATCTAAAAAACTGAAACACCAGAACACATGGTTAGAGAGGGAATAAGCTTAAGATTATCCATGTTCTGATTTATTCACTGCAATTTATCCCCTGGACTGAAAGGCAAAAAGACTGACAAATTAACCAAAAAAACTGCAAGAGAGCAAAAGACAAAACGGGGTCAACTATTAATGCAAAAAAATGCCTCAGACACAAGAGTATCACAAAGTTAATCTTATTTGAGTAACTTTACAGTACATAAAACAAGACCAATGGTAGTGGCCAACCAAAGGTTGAACTCTCCATCAAAGTAAGCTCAAAAGATCAAGGAAGGCTTGAAAAGCACTTCACACAACACTATGAACATACTTTCAAGGGCTTCTATGAATGAGTTAATAAATTCTAACAGAACTTTTTTGTGAAACGCCTCATCACGGGCAATTTTGTGAATCTTCCTATTCCTTCACCTCGTTTCAACATCAGGCAACATGATAAAGTAAAAACAAGTGCAAGAACCCGACCTCCAATAAGGCCGACTAGAACAACCAAAAGGAGAGCAATATACATAGAACTATGCTCTCTTCCCGTCAATTCTTCTTCCCCAACAATGGTTGCCTTGTCATCAGTACCATTAAATGATTCTTCAATACTAGCATCAGTAAGTACTTCAGATGCCACTCCAGCATTACCAACTACCTCAACAATATCTGTCTTATCATCTATGCTACTTGCCACTGATGACACTATGCTATTGGATGGCATTTTTTGTTCACTGGAACCTTCAGTTTCCTTCTTTCCTTCAATAACGTAATCTATGTCATCCAGGAGCATAGGACGCTCCAATGCTGAACCTTTTTTCTTTCTGAACTTCTTCAGAACAAGTTTCTTCATTTTCGACTTCATCTTTGCCCGGTGAGATTTCTTTTCTTTGGATTCACATAAATCATATCTATACTCCTCTCCTTTCTCTATTACATCTAGCCCTACACATTTACCTTTTCCATCCCAAATACTCTCCTCCTCAATCTTCTCCCTAATACATTGACTATCCTCAACATTAGTTCCCTGTGCAGCCTCAATTTCTTGAATTTGAAATCGAAAGTCAGAGCAACCATCCTTCGACAGCTCCAAAGGTGCCTTATAAAAGAAGCCATACAAACGTTCTCCTAAATATTCCAAGAAAAACAATAAGAAAGCTGACATGGTTACCCCCACAACAAGATTGTTCATCCCTAAAACCAATGCCGCCACGAGAAACATCTTCAGAACGGCCACCAACCCCTGATTCATACTGAGACAACCATAACCCCACTCTTTCTCGTCGTTCATCTTGCGAGATTCAGGTTTGTCACCTTCCACTTCTGGTACACGGATCATAGGAGGAACTTCATTATCATCAATCATGAATTCAGAAGTAGAGGGTAACGTTACAGACGAAGGGGGATTTAGAACGAACAAAGGGTCGTCAACCATTTTTTTCTTGGAAGATTTCTTGAATCTTCGGCGATTCTTGACAACAAAATCGACAAGAGAAGTTGGAAAACCAGTTTCCACCATTAGAGGAGATCCACTTTGAGAATTTACATGATCCTTCACCAATTGTGAAATGCTTGTTTTCTTCACCTTCTTCCATGGAAAAGGCATCCTTAATTATATAACCGATCGACCGATAAGGGGTTTTGAATCAAATTCGAAGTGTCAAACTACTACAAACCCAGAAAATTGTGAAAGAAGAAAATCTGGATGAAGATTATGAGTGTACGGACATGGCATGATGTTTGGGGAAGAACAAAAAAAACGGAACATGTTCCGTATTTCCGGTGTCAACACTATTTTTTTTTATAATCACCTTCAACCCACTCTATCAAATTTTACGTTAACATTCAAAAAAAAATAAAAAAAAAATATTTAAAAACTTATATATTTGCATTTTTAATTTTTGTGAAGATTAGATAAATTCAATTTATAGAAAAGCTATATTTAAAATTAATATTATAAAAATAGTATATAAAAAGAATTAAATATACAAGAAATTTAATTAAAACATATAATTTATATAAAGTTTAATTAAAAGTTTGTATATGTCACAACCAAGGAGCACTTACTAGAAGTAACATGACGTACTTATCTATTGGAGGTGTTGTACAAACCCATAATTATCATTCATTGCATTGTCATAGATAAATTTAGCAGAACATTTAAAACTTTCATAGCACATCATATGCTAGAACGTTACTTCCATTTATATATAAAATATCATAATATATAGTTAAAGACTCTAGTCTCTTTTTTGTCATCGTAGACTCAACATAATTAGAGTATAATATGGACACGACCCTTACAACATAAATCATAAGTACATTATTACTAAACTTTACAGTAAGATAAAACTTAGGAAATCCTTGGACTTAAGGATTCCTTTCCTTGAGCTTGAGAATCAAATATCAAGCTCCTCACCATTAAAGACATCCTTTAAGCATCCATAATCTACACTTAGTGTAAAAAGGTAAAGAAGAATGGTATTAGTACAAGAATGCACTAAGTATGGCAACCATGCAAAAACATGCATTTAAAAGGAACATTTTACTTGAAACCATGCATCATGTCTTTTTGTGAAAACCTCATATAAAACTTTATACATTAAGCATTATACTATTCACATACTTCATATAGGCATATTCAATATATAAATCATACATTGTATTTAAAGCATATTTAGGATCACTTTACAGTAACTATATTTCATTTACGGTAAGCTTAACACAATTATAGTAAGCACATTTTTTTTACAATATGCCCCTCTTTCTTTATTTCCTTGACTTCCCAAGTAACCCTCTAGTGATACCTAGTGCAATGCATCACTTTAAGGCCATAAAGTACTCATACGTTAACCTTACTGATCCAATACATATATTCATAAAAGTGTAACCTATCACGAACACATTTTAGTCAAGGCTTACAACATCATTACAATGAACCATAGCCTACTTGCATATATGCTAATTTCACTTCACATATATCACGTTCGGATTTTAGACCCCAGACGAGACCGACGTCGTTAACCTCTTAGAGGTCGCAAACAAGCCTACATGCGTTTTTCATACTTCACATAGATTAATTTTAGCGAAAAATTTGAAACTTTTTGATCTTTAACATGCTTGCTAAATATTCTTAAGATTTCATAATCGTTCATCATCAACCATCTAACATTAAAGAGATAAGCAACTGAAAGAAATAGTTCATTAAGTATTAATTGTATGATGGCCAAAATGGCACAAATACAAAGTCTGAACCAAACAGGAAAGCAACGCTAGTGGAACATGCTCCACTACCTTAACTTTAAAACTACGCTAGAATGTAAAACAGTAACATCCTCGAAAGCGTGAGGACCTACCAAACTCTGTATGAATGTTGACGTTCGGATAGCTGCAACAATGAACCTGTAGCACTATCGTCCACCTGTGCCTGCACCTAAAATAGTATAGATGTATAAGGTTAGTACATACTTGTAAGTATGGGTATATGCAAGCACACACCAAGGACATGCATGAGAAAGAACAGCTCTTTCCTAACGACAAAATTTTTGTAAGTCAAGTCAGTAGACTTGTCAAATTGAGATTAAGAAAGTTAGTGAACTTTCCAAATTGAGTTAGGAAGGTCATGCCATGAGAGTAACATGCATCATCATAAATATCGTATTGCACACAACACATAACATCTTTATATAGCACATATAATAACACATAACATATAACACATAACACATAACTTCGTTCATATCATTCATTCATATGTCATGAGACCTTGGAATCATGGACTTGACATTAAGACTTTCCAAAATGAGAGCTCAACAGATGGGACCTCAACTAGGGAGTCTTCATTAGCAAACACAGAGTCTTTTTCATACATTCATACATGCTTCATTTCATTTCATTCATAGGCTAGTATGAACACTAGCTATATCTAGGGTATAGTTTAAGACTTTCATCGGGTTTGTTGTGCAATGATCAGGAATAACCTAATATCATTACCTGGATCTAGCTCACCTCTTGATTATCCTATTCTAACACCTTGGGTATCATTCATTTCATTATGTGTTTCATTTGACGCTGACCTCATTCATTCATTGGGAACTTTAACTTTAACCAACATAGTCATGTGAGCATCATGAAATCCAGTGTATCCCCCAAACCGAAAATAGGTGGAATCACCGGCCAAAGTGACTCAATAACATGCTAGCGTTTATGGGAATTTAACCCCGCCAGATCCCTATATTGGCAGTATAGGTTCAAAGACTAGGAGATATATAGAGACTCATACCCGGCAAGCCGGACAGTATCATCTCATGAGAGTTGCGTGAACCTTCGTCATTCCTGAAAGAAGGCATCACCGTTCATAGCTAGCCTATCGGTGCTCAATATAAAGTTCCATTACATTCAACTCATACGTCATGGAAGTTGACTTCTAGTTAGAGGAAAACATAGCTCATTAGATGATTTCTCATCCCATCATTAGTATTAAGTGTGTTAAACTCATCACTTTCATTAGAGTGTTCATACAGACTGGTCTCTTCATCATTTTATACTCTCATTGGTGAGTACGTATTGGTAACATTTACTTAGGCTCATTTGATACTCCTCTCATCATATACATTAGCCTCATATCATGTTGTCACCACATTCTTCATTATTAAGACCTTTTTTTTTCATAGTTACTCACCTCTTATTACGTGAATGTTCATTTCATCATTTCATAGTTCATGTCATCATATGCCAATGCACTTGGCCATTTAGTGTATCTCACACTTATACTGAACCCTCCTAGGGTTCATCATTTCATTACGTACATCTTAGGTTCACTTACTTTTGAACGTATGTTAGACTTATGTGTCTATACATACAAGTCATGGGGCTTCATCCATAGTTCGCTAAGTGATTCTTACTTTCCTAAGATTATGTAGTACAAGACTTATGTATCTTGTATATATGCCAAGATTTTGATTTTTGATCTAAGTAGATGGCATTACTCTTGGATATTTTACCCACTATGACTTATGTATCAATACGGAAGTTTGGGCTAGGGAACCCAAATCTTGAATCACTTGGATATCATTTATATTTTTTTCATTGATTTTATTTCTAATATTCATAACATTAGAACTCTAAATTAAATTTCAACATTTACATGGAAGGATTAATTTTTTATTTTAATTAGAACTCTAAATTAAATCTCAACATTTACATGGAAGGATTAATTTTCTATTTTAATTAGAACTCTAAATTAAATCTCAACATTTACATGGAAGGATTGATTTTCTATTTTAATTAGAACTCTAAATTAAATCTCAACATTTACATGGAAGGATTAATTTTCTATTTAAATTAAGACTCTAAATTAAATCTCAACATTTACATGGAAGGATTATTTTTCTATTTTGATTAGAACTCTAAATTAAATCTCAACATTTACATGGAAAGATTAATTTACTATTTTAATTTTACTCTTAGTTAACTGAAGGGTTGTGGGTTCAAACCCCCACAGCCTCTTTGATTTTTCCTTTAATTTTCACTGGGATAGGGAACTTGTGGGTTCGAACCCCCACAGCCCCCTTATTTTTTTTTAATTTCGCTCACGCTTCAGACCTTGAGGTCGTGGGTTCGATTCTCACGCCTCACAATTTTTTTTCTTATTTTTCCTTTCTCTCGCGCATACCTGGAGGTCGTGGGTTCGAATCCCAAGCCTCCCATTTATTTGCTTAATTAATTTTCTCCTCTTTCTTCCCCCAGTTCGCGAGTTCAATTCCCCCCAGCCCCATTTTCTTTTCCCCTTTCTCGCGAAAATATTGGCCAAGGGTTCGATTTCCCCCAGCCTTTTTTTTTCTTTTTTTTCCTCCCTCGCGACAACCAGTAGCTAAGGGGTTCGATTCACCTTAGCCCCTTCATTTTTTTATTTTTTCCAGCCATCTCAACCTGTGAGGTCTTGGGTTCAATTTCCATTGACCTCACTTATTTAATATTCCCTTTTAAAACCCAGATTTCAACATTATTATAGAGTACCCAAATCTGAAAAATTCTTGTCATTATTCAACTCATTTTTTGTCACATAGTTCATAAGTTTAGTTGGCTTAAAGGTGGTTATTTCAATCCACTATACTTCATGGTAATGTACATCACATTGTACACATAAAATATACAAGAAATACATGCTTCATACAACCCAAAACAGTGGCCAAAGCCACTGCCCACATGCACACACACACACACACCAACTTTTCGATCACACTTTGAATATTGTTTTTTCGTAATTTCCCTCACATAAACATGTTCACAATTAATATAAATACATCATTCATGCCTAAATCTAGCAACACAACATACCCATCCTACGAATTCGTTTGGGAGCTAATGAAAAGGACCTACAAAGGGGAACAACCTTAGTTTTCAAGACTTGAGAATCGTTCGAAGGAAAATAATCTTGGACAAAGAATTCCAGGGAGAAAACCCATACCTTTTGATGTTGTTCAAGTGTGAAGTTGTTGCCCAAAAACTCCTCCAAACCACGCCCAATTCTCGTCAACGTGCACACCACTCGACGAAAAACCTCCCTTTGCCTTGACGTTTTTGATTACCTTGCTTAAAACTTTTCATGTGTTTTTCAAGTGTGAAGAACAATTGTTATTAAACTGTTCTTGAGCCTTCTTGTTAGTCAGAGCGTGAGAGAATGAGAGTTGAGAGACGCGGAAGAGAGTTGAGAAACGTGAGGGAGAGAGTTATTAGACTTAGGAGACTAAATTCAAG